TTTTTTTCGTAAACCTCACCATTTGAATGATATTGAAGATTTAAGTTTGATTATTTTCAGACAAATTTCATTTTTGTTTATGAATTTTATAACTCGACAATAAATGACTATTATAAAATGCGCAATAGAAATTTTTGTAGGAAATTAAGTGCTCTATAAAAATGGTGTCTTATGTTTTGGCGATTAAATTAAGCGTTTAAAAGATATTCATCATCAAACTTTCATGTGTACTGATTTCTGTCTCTGAATATCTATATCTATATATATATATATATATATGTATAATTAATTAATAATCTATATATAATTAATATAAATTATAATATATAATTGTATAAAGATTTATTAATGTTTTTATTCATGTAAATATAATCAATATTTTAAATTAATAAATATAAAGAATTATTAATAATATTTTATTAATTAAGAATTATTTTGATAAATATCCTAACTATAATAAATAAAAATATCTATAAATAAATAATAATTAAAAATCTATTTATATATGTCAAATTATATGTAAAAAAAATATGTATATGTCCATTTATATGTAAAATCCAAAAATATGATTAAATAAATAAATAAATAAATAATAATTAAAAATACATTTTATATAAAATAATTTTTAAAAAAATTGTATTAAAAATTAAATATATAAATAAAACAACATTGAATTTACATATATATACGATCGTATATATACGATAATAAATATTAACATACTTGATACTCAAGTAAAGTAAATAACCTTGAACGTAAAAGGAAAAAGGATGAAACACCATGAAAGTTAAAACACTGACAATGAATTATACTTAAAGTCACGTTCCACGTGTGATTGTACCTCTGATGCCATCTTTGATCATTATAATAATATAATGAAAGAACGTTTAAATGTTCTACGTAAAATATCAAAAATGTACTAGTGTTTGTGTTTGTGTTTGTGTGTCAGTTAGGAAAAAATACTATGTGATAATTGATACAAAAACTTGTTCAGAATTAATAAGGAAAAAATATTTATTATTTCTTTTTCTAACGATTGATTTTATTATCAGAACAAAAATTACACGTTTGATTTGAAAGATCAATTGATTGAAACATTGATTGAAAAATCTAATTATAATAAAAAGAAGAGACAAAAAACCAAAAGAAAAACTATAAACTGTGTTTTTTAATTAAATTTAAAACAAAAAAAAATTTTAAACAAATATAAAATAAAACAAAATTAAATTAAAATACAATTAAATTAAATTAAATTGAAATAAAACAAAATTAAATAAAATAAAATTAAATTAAATATAATTAAAATAAAAAAAAAAAATAAAATAAAAATATAAAATAAAACAAAATAAAATTAAACAAATTTAAATTAAAATGAAACAAAATAACATTAGATTAAATTACAATTACAATTACAATTACAATTACAATTGAAATAAAAATAAAATACACAAAAATGATTACTTACTTATAAAACTGCGTGTAAATGTAAACATCACTGTAAAAAGTAACACCGGTCTTTTGAATATTCTCTTTCTCTTTGTACAATTAAATATAATTAAAACAAGACAACATGTATATATACATCTATTTGAAATATCGTAGAAAATTGAGAACAACACTATACCAAACAGAGATACAAGAAAACTGAATGAAGATGCATTAATACACGTATCTTATATATATATATATATATATATATATATATGTAGCACAGAACAAATTGATATTCGATAACAAATTTCTAAATATTATCGATAAGATTTGACAAGAATATGAATAAGAAGAAAACGTAATAAGAAAATAAAGACAACAACGATAACAACAACAAAAAACAAATTCAATATGAAATTTAGAATACGTCAAAGACTAAACAAGGTATTTCCAAGCAACACGACCGACTCGTTCGTTCGTTGACGTTGTTGTGTGTAGTATAGTATTATACTAACTTGCCTTTACCCAGAGAGGACTCACGACGATTCTTTTCTTCTGTTCCCCACTACCCACTACCTCAATACTACTATCCAACATATGCGATCATTATGTGTGAGAGTATGAGAGAGAAAGAGAGAGAGAGAGAGAGAGAGAGAGAGAGAGAGAGAGAGTGGAAGAGTAACAGAGAATATTATGAGAGTACAAACTGTAAAGTTATTTTAAAAGAGAGAAAATATAAAGGAGAATAAGAATGACTATGACTGATTGAAATGATCGTTTCAATTAAGACTCATCTAATTTTTTATTTATGTGTTAGTTAATAAACGTTGTAAATAATCATTTTGTACTCTATCATTTAGGAAAAAAAATGTAACTGTATAATAAAGATTGCAGAGTTATTTTAAAAAGAGAAAATGTAGAGTAAGTATGAGTATGACTGACTGAAATGATCTTTCGAATTAAGACTCATCCAATTTTATTTATGTGTTAGTTAACAAATGTTGTAAATAATCATTTTGTACTCTATCATTTAGGAAAAAAAATGTAACTGTATAATACAGATTGTAGAGTTATCTTAAAAAGAGAAAATGTAGAGTAAGTATGAGTATGACTTGATTAAAATGATCTTTCGAATTAAGACTCATCTAATTTTATTTATGTGTTAGTTAACAAACGTTGTAAATAATCATTTTGTACTCTACCATTTAGGGAAAAAAATGTAACTGTATAATACAGATTGTAGAGTTATCTTAAAAAGAGAAAATGTAGAGTAAGTATGAGTATGACTTGATTAAAATGATCTTTCGAATTAAGACTCATCAAATTTTATTTATGTGTTTGTTGCCAAACTATATAAATAATAATTTTTTACTTTATCATAAAGGAAAAGTATATAACTGTATAATAGAAACTGTAAAGTTATTTTAAACAAAGGAAAAGTAGTATGAAGATAATGTTGATCAAAACTCGTTTGAATAAAAATACATCCACATTTATTTCTATGTTAAATATCTAACTATGTAAATAATAATTTTCTACTTTATCATAAAGGAAAAATATATAACTGTATAATACAAACTGTATAGAGTTATTTTAAAGAAAGAAAAAGTAGAATGAAGATAATGATCACAACTCGTTTAAATAAAAACTCATTTAATTTTATTTATATATATGTCAGTTGTCAAACTAGGTAAATAATACTTTAGTACTTTATCTCATTAACAAACAAAATTTAACTGTATAATACAAACTGTAGAATTATTTTAAACAAAGAAAAAGTAATATGAAGATAATTATGATCAAAACTCATTTAATTTTATTTATGTGTTAATTGTCCCAAACTCAAACAATGAATAATATTGTACTCTATCATTATGGAGAATATATAACTGTATAATATAAACTGTATAGAATTATTTTAAAGAGAAAAGAAGTAAAAGAAAAGTATGACATTGCTGATAATGATCGAAAATTGTTTGAATAAAACCTCATTAATTTTATTTATCTATTAATATTATTTAATGTGTTCGTTGTCAAACTATGTAAATAATAATCTTGTATTTTATCATTAAGAGAAAGATATTACTGTATAATATAAACTGTAGAGTTATTTTAGAGATAGAAAAAAAAGTATGAAGATAATGATGATCAAAACTCATTTAAATATATACTCATCTAATTTTATTTATGTGTTATTATTAGAGAAAATATATAACTGTATAATACAGTTATAAAGAAAGTTTGAAAGAAGGACAAAGTAGTATGAAGGTAATGATAATGAAAACTCGTTTGAATAAAAATTCATTTCATTATATTTATGTATTTATAATAAAACTACGTTAGTTTCATTCATGTTAGTGTGTTAATTGCAAAATAATTTTATACTTAACCACAAAGATAATAATATAACTGTATAATTCTTTTATATGTTAAAGAAAGAAGCTGTAAATTGTCAAACTATGCAAATAATAATTTGGTATTATATCATTAAACTTGACCTTATTTCTTTTACTTTATTAAATGGTAAAATAAGGATACTTATTTTAACAATATAACTGTATAATATAAATTGTAGAATTATTTAAAAAAAAAAAGAAGAAATAAAAGAGTAGTATGACAATGATGATGATGATGATGATGATCAAAACTCATTTGAATAAAAATTCATCTAATTTGATTTAAATGTTAATTATCAAACAATGTAAATAATAATTTGATAGCTAACCATAAAAGAAACAATATTACTGTATAATTATTTTATACATTAAAGAAAGAAAAAAGTAGTGTGAAGGTAATGATCAAAACTTGTTTGAATAAAAACTCATCTAATTTGATTTCAATATGAATTATCAAATAATGTAAATAATAATTTTGCATTTAAAAATTAAGGGAACAACATAACTGTATAATTCTTTTAAAAGAGAGTAAATATAAGAAAGAATAAGTATGACTAGTATTGATTAAAATGATCGTTCAAATAACAACACAGTTGATTTGACATTTCTATGTCAGTTGTCCAAAGTACTACGCAAATAATAATTTATTACTTTGCCATTAGGGAAAAAATATAACAGTATATAGGAAGTTGATAATTTCATTGATAAGAATTAATTATTTTTTCTCTTCTTTGTTATTTTCTTCTTCTATTTGACGCGTGTTATTAATTAGTATAATTATTTCCTCATCAGATAGTTAGTTTGACATTCAACAGGTTCAGGATATTTGATTTTCTTCTTGTTTTTTTTTTTTCTTTTCTTCCTTCTGATTAATTTTCTTTTATTTTCTTCTTCGAATATAAATGTCAACACGTTGACAAAGATTTATTTAACAATTCGTTTGTCATTCCTTTTTTTTCAACCTTTTTTTATTATTATTATTATTACTATTATTAGTTTAATCATTAGTTTTGTAAAAAACATTTTTAATATTATCATTTTATTCAATTGATAGGACTATTTATTTTCTTTTCCTTTTGTTTATTATACAGTATTAATATTGCATTTGAAAGATATTTTTTAATATTTTAATATTTATTTAACAAAACATGAAGTTGATAAAAATTTATTCATTGATATAAATAATTGGTTTTTATTCTTGTCAATTTAATAGATTTTTTATTTGTTTTTTGTACTGGAACTTTGGTCGTCCTGGATAAAACTTTTAAACAGGTCAGCAACTTTAGGTATTTAGGATCGATCAACAACGTTGAAGGAGCCATTGGTGGTCCTAAATCATTGGACAGTGATTTTGAAGAACCCAAAAATTCTGTCTTTGATAGTAACTTTGAAATTAGTCTTTCATTGTGTGGTAATTTGGATAGCGAGAGTGGTCCATCGAAAGAAGCTTTCCATCAAAATTTACTTCATTATGAAGATATTTGTACTGATCCTAAATTATACGATAATCCTAATTTGGTGGTTAAAATTAATAACAAATATTATAATTGGGCAACTGCATGTCCAATTGTCATGACCTATGCTGTCTTTCAAAGACACTTGCCTCAAAATACTATTGAAAATTTGTACGCTCAATGTATGCCGTTATTGATGCACGTTGATAAAAAACAATCGAGTACTGAAAAAGCTGAAGGTCGTAGTGGTTACAGTTCATGGTTCTCATGGGGTAGATCTAACACTCAAGCTAAAAAATCTCAAGAAATAAGTCAAGGTAAATATTAATTAAAGTACTTGAACGTTGGTCGTCCGGGATAAAACTTTTGAGCGGGTCGTAAACCAGACGAACGAAATTAACGAAGAACTTAAGAAAATAACTCAATCTAGGCAACTCATGTTTTTATTCGGTTAACAAATTACTCAGCTCGCGGTTGCTGTCTAGGTGATTAAAAATCAGGATATACAGGACAATCATCCTGCCGGTAGTCCTTTATGGTAGCGAATCGTGGTCGCTTACGTTACGGGACGAAAAGAAATGTAGGGTTTTCGAAAACAAAGTTATTCGTAAAATCTTCGGTGCAAAACGCGATGAGGAAACGGGCGAATGGAGAAAACTCCATAACGTTGAAGTACATCGATTGTACAACAAACCGGACATTATCAACTTTGTAAAATCACGCCGATTAAGGTGGGCTGGTCACGTGGCGCGGTGCATGGGGGAGGATTGAACGGCGCACAAAATATTGGTCGGTATACCAAACGGGAAAAGACCACTAGGTAGACCGAGACGTAGATGAGAGGATAATATTAGAAAGGACCTGAAAAAAATAGGATACGAAGACCGCGAATGGAAGGATCGCGTTCAGGGACGGGGGAACAATGGCGGAATTTGGTATTTGCGGCAATGAACTTTCGAGTTCCTAATGCCAGTTAATAATATAATAATAATATTAAATATATAATAAAAATTATATGATATATTAAATAATTGAATTTTTAGAATAAAGAAAAAAATTCATATATATAATTTATCAGATAAAAATAATTTTAAAAAATGTTATTGTTATTATTATTATTGACTTTGTTTTTTCTTCTCGATCATGTACAAACAAAATCAACATTTTTTTCTTCCTCTAATGAAAAGTATTGGTAATTCCCTAATCTTTTACGTTTCATTGATTCCAAAATAAATTTTCAAACTTATATTATATTAAGTATTTCCCCTTTAACAGATAAATTGAAGCAATTGGTGCAACTAATTCGTGACTAACATCTTTCATAACATTTAATCTTGATAAGAAAGAGAATATTATTTTTGTTACATAACAACGAGTATTTTACTGTCTTTAAGGAAGATTAAACGTCTTGAAAAGATTTTTATTTCTTTTTTTATTTCTCTCATTCTTTATCTTTATCTTTCTTTCGTATAAATCAACGTGAACAACTACGCTTTCACCTATCGAAATATCAATTTCAAAAGAAAAAAAAAAAAGAAGAGGAAGCAAATATACGAAATATCACGAAGATTGCATACAACACATATTATTCTACTGGTATATTGCGAAATTTCATTAGGTCATTCACATTCGAACTCATTTTATGTATAATATAATATCAATTAATTGTATTTTATATTTACATGATTCTAGGGGAAAAACAAGTAACTAGGAAGAGAACAACAAAAAAATAATTACGGTAATTAAAAAATTAATTTTTTTATTTATTTATTTAAAATACATATTTAATTTTTATCTATTTATTATTATATATATATATTATATTTATTATTTATTTATTATTTTTATATTTATTAAATTTATTATATATTTATTTAATTAAGAAAACAATATACGTAGGTTGGAACTTAAATAGTGGCAATTATTTATTCACAACCGATACAAAAGAGTTACACGTTTGTACCTATTACTGTCCTTCAAAGTAGTCACCAGGTTTGTGTAGAACCCATTGCCAGCGATTTGGAAGGCATAGTATACCGTTAGCTAGTGTCATTCCTGTAGACCTTTTAGCACAGGAGTGCAAAAGGATCTTCGCGACAAGTGTAGAATTGGGACGGGAAAGGGTCGCCCCAGAGGTGCGGACAGAGACTCTGAACAGCTGGCAAACCCGTTGAACGGAAGGCGACAAAGACAGGTGGACGAGACGGCTCATAACTCAACGTACGAGCATGGTCAGAGAGGAGAACCATGGGGAAGTGAATTTTTACTTAACCCAATTTCTCTCTGGCCACGGATACTTCCGCAGGTACCTGTACCTGTATGGGGAAAGTAACGTCCCCGTTGTGCAGATAATACTGCGGACATGCACAGGACGACGCGGAACACACATTTTTCGTGTGCCCATGGTGGACAGACGTCAGACGGACGTTACGAACTAAGACAGGAGATCTGACCCCGGACAACGTAGTGTCCACTATGACTCAGGACCAAGACAAGTGGGATGACGTGACGCATTATGTGACCTATGTACTCATACAAAAACGAACAGACGAATACCTAGAAGGTTGACGAACGAATTAATTTATTGTCTCAAAAATAAAAGAACAATTGAAAATTCAGCAGCAATAAATTAATGCGATACAACCACAACACATCTAAATATAATTGAATTTTTTCCGAAGCATTCAAATTTGCATACCAAATTGTATAGAATTTCAAAATTATCATACTTCGTTACGTTCATTTAAAAGATTGTATTATCCTTTTCAGATAAATGAAATTATTGACGTGTGTAAACATGCAAACACACCCACATTCATACACACCCACATTCATACACACATATATATTTATATATATACAAACACATGCATTTATTTATTGACGCAGATATTATTTTTAATACGAATAATATGTTTGATTGCTCATAACTTCCTTAAATAGATATGTGAATACAGTTCGAATATATATATATATACAATAATT